TGCTTCTGTCCCAAGCCCAGCTCCACTCATCTCTGCCTTTCCCTGGTAGTCCACAGGGAGAGTGACAAACTTAATTTTCTCATCTCTCTGCCTTCACCATCAAGTGTTGGGATTGCAGGCATTCACAACCTGGTTAGTAAAATGTGTAGATACAGGACGTAAGCAAAGGGCCTGAGTTGTTACTGGCAGCCACCCCTGATGGGAACCATGCTGAGAATGGATCTCTACATCTGTGTAGGAGGACAGACCAAGATGCAAGGGCAGCTTGAGTCCCTGCTGGAAGGAACAAGTGAGATCAGTCCCTATATACATACACAATCGTGTTCTTTACTGGGGCCTGAGGCCAGTGTGTCTTCTCGGCTATACGGGGGGGGGTTGGATGAGGTGGCAGGGTGTATTGCTGTCCTGAAGACAGGCTTTCTTCACAGGTCTGGTGCATCATGTGTAGTGGTGGAGCTGCTGCTGCTGGTGACAATGGTGTTGGTGACAATGATGTGAACTTATTGATGGTTGTAACAGTGGTGAAATTAGTGCTGGAGGTTTAGGATGGAGGTCAAGGTGATGGGGTGTGGAGAGCTTTATGTCGGTAATGGGCTTAAGGGTAGAGTAGGATTAGAAATCTGGCCTCTGTAATCTGCTCTAGGCTCAACTCATGAGGCCTTTGAGAAGCCTGGGCTTCCAGGGCCTTTTCCTGGGTCTCTGGGAAGACCATCCTCTTCTGCTTTTCTAGACCCCTCGCTGGGGGTCCCTCTGGTTCATGAAGTAGAGTCTGGGCACTGTGGCTGCCAGGGTTTAGCCTATAGGATGTAAAATGTAGAGGGAAGGAGTCAGGAAGAGGGCCAGAAGACCCCATGGGCCTGGTTGGTGAGGCTGAAACTTCTTCCTCCCACCTGGTCATCCACTGTCCTGGTGCAAGAGCTGAAATTGTGGGCTCAGAGTATAACAAGTGCAGAGCCCAGCCTATGAGGGACAAAAGAGACAGAAAGAGACAGATGTAAAGGGCAGAGGCCTGAAGCTGGAGAGTGAGCCACACATAAGTCTCCTGGGGCCCAAAGAGCCTCCTGGAGCCTTGCTGTGGAAAAAGGTTCTGGCTACCTCCATCCTTGCCTCCATGAGACTTAGGGAACCCTATGGCTCACAAGAGGGTGGGGACTGATGGGAACCAGATAGAGGAAGAAATCTCCACCCCACCATGGTCCCTTGCAGCTGTGCAGGTCAGGGCCAAACAAAGCCTGGGCCCAGAAGTGGGATGTGTGCCCACAGGGCGTCCCTAGAAGGGTCACCAGGCTCCAGTAGTCTTTATCAGGGGCCCCAGCTGTGGCCGCAGGAAGTCACTGTTTTGCTGCTGGTCTCCCCTCTAGGCTTATGATAACGTCAGGGGACCATAATGTATTGAGAAACACCTAAGCCTGGGCTGAGGGACCTCTGACATACAGGTTTACCAGCTGGACCTGAGCATGTAGGCTGAGGTGGAAGAAAGGGTCCAGGCCATGGTGGAAAGGTCCAGTCTGCTTTCCCAATGTCTAATGAGTACAGGACAGGGAGGTCTGTGTCCTCATGCTGGGCCAGAACAAAGGGACCCCAATCATCTTTGCTGCCCTACACAATTCTGTCTCTATATCTAAGTTCCACCACCCATGAATTTCCAAACCTTCCACACCCCATTCCCACTGCCATCCTGAACTGCTTCCCCTCCCACAGCCAGAACCGTCCCTATTCTGGAGCCAGCCATCCCATCGGGACCCTTTTCCCAGGCCTCTGACCAGTACAAGAAGGGTCCCTGGAATCCATCCCTGGTGCTGTTTTTCAGGCTTCCTCAGGCCTCCGCTCCTGTCTCTCTGTCAGCCTCACCCCAGTACTATGCCACCCACCTACTCCCAGCAGGCAAGCCTGTTGCTGGCTGAGGTGAGCTAATTAAAGGCTAACTCTATCAGTGGTGTAGTGATTACTCATTTTAATGAGGGCTGCTCTTGTGGTGGCTCCTGGAGGAGTGGGATTTGGGGAGCCCTTAACTCACTTTCCTCTAGCCATCTACTGGCTCTCCGTTAGAGCCTGCACTTGTGGCCCCTCAAGAGCATGTCCCTCCTCACCTGGCAAACTCCTACTCTCTCTTCAAGATCTTGTTCATGGAGCCTCTGTGGTCTCTTGGCAGAAGGGTCATAAATGACCCTCAAGAAAGGGACCAGCCCTAATTAGGAGTCCATGAGTGGTGTTCAGGAAACTGGGCAATGTGGATGTTGTCCAGGTCAGGAAGCCTGGGCTGGGATCACCCTGGAGCTGGAGGGAATTCTACCTGGCTCAGGGCCCTGAGTTTGGTACTTCTGGTAGCCCCCTATTGTTAGTCTTGCCAGGTCCTAGAGAGGATTCTCATTCACCTTTGTGCTCTGTGCACTGTGGGCCACACCCTGCATCCCTGCATACACCAGGCCCCACTCTCCTTTATTGCACTTCTGTGCAGATGTCACACATGCGGTTGACAGACAAACCCTGAGCACATGGTGTCCAGACACTGGTCCTGTCCAGAGGCTCTGTCCACACATGGACCCAGGTGCACATGTGCCTGGCTGGGAGGACAGAGACTGCCCCTTCTGCCCCAGGCCCCCAGGGCTTCCCATTTACCAGCCGTTATCTATCAAAAATATATTAACCCTGAGCCTGCTTCCATCAGAGTCTCGATTCCAGGGACGGTTCCAGATAAGCCTTATCTCTGTGCTGGTGCATTAGCCCCATGCTCCAGGGCCTGCCAATCATGCTGCCCCCACCCAGCCTGTGTTGTGACACTGGCTGTGACTTCATATTATGTAGGCAGGGCAGCGGGTGCTTCTTTTCCAAAGACACACCCCAGGCACTATGACAAGGAGTTTGGAATTGTCTAGGGCCCTAACCCTTGGCACAGATTTCAAGTAAGTTCCTGTGGGCTATGGTTGCAATGAGCCTGGGCCTTTGGAATTGTGTCTTCCCTAAAACACTGGAACCTGGGGCTGTGTGAGGGGTGGAGGGTCCTGGAGCTAAGGTTCCTGCCCATAGCCAGTCCTGGTCAGCAGTGCACACTGCTCCCCTCCCACTGTCGTCTTGGCTGGGTTGCCCCTGCAGACTGTGTACCCCAGCTTTAACTCACTAACGGGTATTCATGTTTCCATCAATATTGTGCTTGAGAGAGGCCTCTTCTGGGGCTCAGCTGTGTTCTGAGGCCACACTGGGCAGGCCTACCTTATACACATTCTGAGAGTCCTGTAAGCTTTTGGGAGTTATATGCTGCACAGCCCCTCCCAGTGCTCAGCTCTGGGTTCTTCTGTGTCTCCGCTTCCCTCAAGCTGAGCTCTGGGCTTTAAGGAAAGCAGTCTTCAGGAGAGATGCTGGGCTACAGACGTGGAGAAACGTAAAGGTCCTGAAGAAAATGGCTCAACTGGAGCTGTGCTAGGGCTGGGGCTGGCTGCAGTACGTCTTGTGGGGTCACGGGCCTCTATCCTTCACTGTGTACATATCTAGGGCTTTCTCCAAGGCTGCAGGCTGTAATGGGAGCTCCATGCTTAGCAGAGTCCTATGTCCTCAGATCTACCTTATAGAGCAGGGGCTTCTCTTATATAATGGGGACCCTGAGGAACAGACTAGAGACTTGCCCAAGGTCATAATGCCCAATCAGGGAAGACAGGGCTAATATGGCCCTACTTAAAGGGACTCTGAGAGGAGTAAGCTTCAGGGCCCCTGTCCAGAAGAGGATCTTGGTCCAGGCCCTGCACTGAGCAGAATGGCTTCTTTACCTATGAGGATTCAGACCTGCTCATCTACTCACTGACACTTAGAGGCCACAGTCCTGGAAGGCCTTTTCTGCTCCCAGGAGTGAAGTAGGGGACTATGGGACCTCAGCCAGGTTGGCTACCTGCCCTGAGGTCCATGCCCTCACTGGACCTCACTGGCTCTAACTGGCTGCTCCCCCAGGCATCCTAATGGTAAAAAGGGTGGGTTGGGGCATAGCTCAGCCTGTGGCCCTGTCCTTCAGACATGGTAGTCTTTAGGGCTGGTTGGGGCTAAATGAGGGCACAGGAGTCTCAGGACCAAGCAGAAGGCAGCCACTCCGAGGTGCCCAGTGGTGCAGGTGGTAGCACTTGGAGCTGGGATTCAGCTCCTTTAGGAAGGAGCACCTAGAGTGCTGGTGGCCACACTCACTACATCACACCCAGGACAGGGGAGTCCTACAGCTGGAGGAAGCTGGTCCCTAGAGGCCTGGCAGTAAGACCCAGCCCCTGCTCGGCTTCAGCTACAGGCTGTCATGACTATGGCTGCCTGGGGCCTGGCCAAGGACAGTGAAGAGCAGTCGCTGCCATCCTGGCCTCTTGGAGGCATGAGGGGCTTGGCGGGCTGATGATGTGTTTGATTAGGGGCCATGACTTACAGGGACGCTGTGTTCTGTGGTCTGGCTCCTTTTCCTCTGCCTTCAGCTCTGGAGCTTAACAGACCCAAGTCATTTGATCACAACCTGCCCCTGTTAATATTTTTAATGCCATTTTTGAAAATTAAAGCATAATGCACTGATTACTGGGATAAAGGGAGGCCTTCACGTCTGTCTGGAGGCCAAACCGGGAAACACTGGGACATCTGCTCCCCTTACAGGTGTCTGGAAAAGCTCTGACTTCCCTCATAGGTCAGTTCTACCCTCTTGCCCCCATCTCAGTCCCCATGCTAAGCCTGAGGGTGCTGGGGCTGAAGATGAACATGGAGAAGGTCCAGGTACTTCGACCCCTGGTCTAGCACACTTGGGAGTCCATGGTTCCAAAACTGGAGGCCAAGGCCTCTAGTGCAAGGATGGAGGCCCGGGGTACAAACTCCTGACCAGAGGATCCCAGTAAACTCAGCTGCTCAGAGAATCTCCATTCTTCAAGGTCCATCCACGACATCCCAGGAGCCACTTGGTTGAACCTAGCAACTCTTGAGTCCTAAACCCAATGCACACAATACCCTATGATGCCTGGTGTTCCCCTGGGAGACAGGCAGACTATGGGTAGACTAGGTCACATATGGGATGTTTATTTCCAGTTGGAGAGTGCCAGCTTGTTGGGCAGGGCTGAGTGGCTGCACACACTCTAACTGGGGAAGACAGGCTGCTGGCTCCACTAAGGCCCTTTCCTAGAGGGCCTAGTTGCTATCCTGGGTGGGTGTAGGGATGCAGTGGCAGGCCCTCTAGGCACTGTTCTTCACTTTCCCCAGGTTTTCTTAATGGGGCTCAATAACAGTGCAGATGGCAGTGGGATGGGCTGACTGACTACAGGACTGGGGAGGTTGAGGTATGTCTGGGGGCATCTGGCACTGTGGTCTGGCTTGCAGCTAGGCAGGATGGTTCATTCAGGGAGTCTGTACCATGCGCTTCTGGGTGTCAAAGACATAGCGCTTGAAAGACAGGTTGAGTGTCACAGGCTGTATGGGCTCTGGCCGCTCAGTGCTCTCCTCTTGCTTGGTGGTCTCCCCACGGCCAGCCCTGCCCCGCTTCTTGAGTGTAGGTGTCAGGATCTTCTTGGACTCAGGGCTGAGGCCACCTGCAAGGGACAAAAGTGTCACTGACTCATTGTAGGCAACGCTGTCCTTGTCTCCCAGCTCCATGCCCTCCCCCAACCCAGTATCACCGTCTCTGCCAACTCACTACCAGCCAGTCACTTTAGGGGCATAACTCTCTGATCCTCTGGCTGCTCATCTGGTCCCTAAGTCCAAATGCTCTCTGGGAACACTGTTCTACCTGTCACTTAAAGTTCCTGGCCACCATGGAGATACTCTCTTATCCCTACATTGGGAGTCTGACCCTGTAGGAGGCTCTAGTGTTTTCCCCTCAGGTGAGGGGAGCCTCAGCACACCAGAGGTGGTCAGGGGAACACCTGGGAGGTTTTATCAGCTCTCCTGGGTCAGAGCTCTTGTGGGGATTGCAACCAAGCTCTGGCAGACACTGTGTATAGCTAGATCCTCCATCCTCACCACTAACCCAGAATATGGCTGGGTTCCTGGCCATTCTCAACACGATTTCCTTCACCTACAACTCCCTTTTCTCTTTCTACTTCCACAGTGGAAGATGTCCCATGGTCCCTTAGTGAAAGGCTGTGCATCACAGTTTAGCCATATGTGTGTATATATATATATGTGTGTGTGTGTGTGTGTGTGTGTATGTGTGTATATATATATGTGTATATATACACACACACATATATATATACATACATACATACACACACACACACACACACACATATATTAGTTAAGCTACATCCTGACAGCATCTCGCTGCTGCAGACTCTGCAGTGGTTACTGAGTCCAGCACCCGACATGCTTATTTAGTCTTGAGTTGAGATATTCAACTGACTGTCTTAGGTTTGCAGATGAGATGCTAGGTAGAGGCTCAGGCCATGTCTGTTAGTACCTACGAGCACCTGGGGGAATCTCCTGACATCCCCTAATTCTGAAGGGCAAGATCCTCCTGCATGTGGGCCTCTGACAATGCTTTTTATTTTTGGTTTCTATTTTCTTGAGACAAGGTTTCTCTATATAGCTCTGGCTGTCCTGGAACTCACCATGTACACCAGGCTGGACACAAACTCAGATATATTCTTGCTTTGCCTCCCGAGAGCTGTGATTACAGGCATATGCTACCACTGCTCTACCTCTGACAATGATCTTGAAGAGGGCTACCACCTCTCCAAGCACCTTGCACTGGTCCCTAATCTCTGGATTTAAAAGGTAGTACATCCCTAGATAACTGCATTCAGGTTAAGAATGGCTTGTCTCACTGTATGAAGAGTCTGGACTTACTCTGACATGCAAAAGTGAGACTGTGAGCCACCTCAAAACCTGGATGCCCTGGGAAAGCTAAAGACTTGAAACTACTAACAGGGCCCCGGAGTGAGGTTGCCCTCTTTCCCTCTGCCTGAGTGCACACAGGAAAAGGTGTCTTTCTGCAGTGGCCTGATCTTTAGCCTCCTCTCAGATGGTGCCTAGGCCCTGGAGTGAGAAAAAGGCCCTGGGCTAGTGCCAGGCCTGCAGGTATCTGAGTCCCTGAATCAGAGCTGGGCTTTCCTCCTGCTGGCACCAGACCCTGACAAATAGTAAGGGCCCGTCTCTCTCTGGTGCCAGGAGGTCTGATCACTGAAGAGGTGCAGGGCTCCAGAGCGTCTATGCCATACTAGGGAGACAGGTGTGGCCCAATCAGCAATCCATCTCATCTGCGATAGCTCTGGTTACACACAGTGCATACCACATCAGCTCAGAGCAGTCAGGGATGCAAGAGCAAGTCTAGCATTGGCGATATTGTGGCCATTCAGCAGCTTGGTCACCTTGGTGTCATAGGGATCTGGGAACAACTAAGGGTCTACCAAAAAACTCCTGTGCCAACAGCTCCTGGGGCAATGTGGCGATATCACACTGTTCCTTTAGTGGTCCCTTTTTATTTGTCCAGGTAGCATAGGCTGAGGAGTTGGAGCTGTACCTACCACAGCAGCCTGGCTTGCCTCAGGCTGAGTATGTCTCTCAACTCCCTGGGGCTTCCCTTTTAAAGATACTAGGTACTATAGGATCAGCGGACAACTGGGAGCAGGCATGCAGTCCAAGCTAGGCCCCCTGGAGATTCTAGATTCAGAAGGACTGACAGTCAACAAGCTTGGAAGCAGATAGCCCCAGATAGCATGATCCTTAAGGAAATGACCCTGTGTCCCTGGGAGGGTGGTGGTAGCAGCTTTGATGTGCCTAATGCAAGGCTCTCTGAAAAAGACTGCTGGACTCATGGCCAGATGACAGGGACCACCACACAGGTTACTGGCAGGCTGTATAGGCAGAGGGAATCTGATATGGTCTGTATGCTTGGTTCTGTAGGAGAAAAGTGCTGACTGGGTCAGGAGAGTTAGCAGGCAGCTTAGGGTGCCTGCATCTTTAGATCAGGGGTCCTAAGGCAGGACAGTTTCCTACTCTGCCACCCTATTCTACTGGCTTTTCCTATGTGCATGGGCAAACACAGTGATTCCCACCAAACACCAGCTTCCCAGTCCTGCATCTGGCTTTGTCAGCCTCTCAGCTAGAACAGTGTAATAGTTCTAAGAGCATCTATTTTACTACCTTCCAGTCCCTGTTCATGTGTTACCTCTCAGGCCTGCTTGCTACCACTGTACCCAGCCTCTCTGGCCCTCATCTGCATTTTTCTTTCCATCTCCTCTGGTAGACTATTATCTCCATGGTTAATATCTGCTGTCTTTCTGTGACTAGTCCCACCAAGTGAGGTTTCTGTCTACACTCACATGATCTGCACTGAGGACTCTGGCTCCCACCTGTCAGTGTTGGGATCCTACAGGGCTAGAGGCAAATTCCTAGTCCAAGGATGCAGACAGCATGCATTTAGGAAAAGCATGTGAGATAGTTCCTGCAAGTCAATGCCAACCAAGAAGTCTACACCCAGGGATGCCAACCAGACAAGCCTGTGCCACGTAGGCATGTGCAGATGCCTCCATGAAGAGTTGAGCAGACCTTACTGGTCAGGGCTGGAGGAACTGAGATACCAAAGAGCTTCAGGCTTGCCCAACATTCCACAGATGGGGAGAAGAGGGCAGACCTGGTGACTAAGGTTGTTCGATCCCCATCTGTGTTTGAGCACCAGAAAACCACACATCTGGTATCAGTTAGAGGGGACCCAAGACCAAGAGAAGATGAGACAAATCCTCTTGCAGTGGTAAAGTGATGTTCGGTAGGACTAAGTATGATCAATGACCATTTAAAAACAGTCTTGTGCTAGGGGCAAGGAGCTAGAGATGGCCTATCCAGTAATAAACCTGCAAGCCTGAGGTTATGAGTTCATATCCCCAGCAGCCAGGTATGAACCTATAATCTTAGCATCTAGGAGGTGGAGACAGGACATTCCTGGGGCTTGCTGGCCAGCCAGTCTAGCTGAGTTTTATGAACTCCAGGTTCAGTCAGAGAGTGTCTCAAAATAAAAAATTTAGGGTCAGTAACAGAGGAAGACACCCAAAGTTGACCTTTGTCCTTTATACAAAAGATATATTCCAAATTTAGTTAAAAAAAAATGCAGCAGGCAGAACTTTCAGAAGAATCCTACCAACTCCAGGCTGCAGAGAAAAGACCAGAAGGCTGTGTGTCCAGACAGGAGGGGTCACAAGGGAAGACATGTAGTGTCTTTCTTCTACTTTCCTGCCTAAGGGCTCTGAGGAACTCTGGGTTAGGCACAGAGGTCTATCTACCACAGGCCCCACAGTGTGCCCAGCCCTGAGCCCAGACAAGGGACTATGTGCCACAGTACAGTCTAGTACATAGGCAACCAGGGGAAGGAGGCCCAGGCGGATCCCCATGGCTTGCTGGGGTTCAGGGGAGTTGTGATCAAGACACAGGCTGGCACTTGGAGGCCAGCGGCTGAGCATGGGTAGGACTCCTTTATGGGCACCAAGGTCAAAGTGTCTCACTCCGCTGCTTTCAGCTAGAGCAGAGATGTCAGGAGCAGGCTCAGGGACGGGCTCTCCCAGCTCCCCCATTCCCACTGGCCATTCCTGCAGCTACTCGCTCTACTCCCTTGCTACCACAGAGAATCCTCTAAGGCCTATGCGATGCTGGGACCTGGCTATACTGGCAGGAGTGTGTCCTCACTCAGGGCCCATGTCTGCCTCCTCTGCCTCTCCACTCCCTGATGCCCCTGTCTCACTCTGAGCACCAAATGAAGGCATAGGAAAGCAAGCAAGAACCCTGCTCACTCATGTCTGCGAGCTTCATTCCTCTCCACCTACTAAACTCAGACTCTGCCACTGCTCCTGGGAGCACGGCGTTGCCCAACTGCCCCAGGCTAAGCTGAGTCCTTCCTAGGAGCCCCTCTGAGTACTTACTTTCACTGTGGTTCTATAGTGTGTACCTCTCAGAGGCTGGTGAATGGTGCTTTTCCTGCTGGGCACAGAGCCCTCTAGGTTTTCAGGGGAGCATGAATGTGATGGAGGCATTCCCCTGCTGTAGGCTACCTCTACTGTCCCTCCATATGCCGTCCTCCATACGCCACTTACCCATATAGACATGACACAGCCTATGCAGGTATCAGTACTCACCTGTGCTATACGCACTTGTGTCCTATGGCCCTGCGTATGCCGGCACAAATCCCACACACGTACTTACCACACTCATACCCACTTGTACTCATCTCTATTACATACATTTACATGCCAACCCCTCCATGCCACACACACCTGGATGTGTCCTACCCAGATGAACAGGGCAGCGGTGAGGCCTGGGAAAAACATGTCTGCCCTCAAGTGGTGCAGACAGCAGTCTGGCTTAGACATCAGGCTGGACTGGTCCTCTCCCTGGCAGGGTGGGTGTTGGGCTGAGGTAGGCCATGATGTCCTCTGTGCAGGAGGCCCACTCTCCCTAGCCACCATGTCCTAGAGCAGTCCTGGAGCCTGCTCTACTCTCCTTTGAGCCCAGACATAGTGCGGGTGGCAGTGACCCCGTGTGACACTACTGCTCATGGCTTCCCATGAGGACCTCTCCCAGGGCCTGGCTGGCCTTTCTCACT